TTATGCACTGATCATGATGTTGCTTATTGATCCAGTTGTGAGGATTTTTGTTTTCTTTATGTTGAGGTGTAATCTTTGATCTTCATCAGTAAATGCTTTAAGTCTTCTATGCTCTCAGCAACCAAGGTTACGTCATCCGCATATCACAGGTTGTTAATGAGTCTTCCTCCAATCCCAATGCTGCACTCTTCTTCATATAGTACAGCTTCTGGGATTATTTGTTCAGTATACAGATTAAATAAGTATAGAGAAAGGATACAAGCCTGACACATACCTTTCCTGATTTTAATCCATGCAGTATCCCCTTTTTCTATCTGAGTAACTGTCTTTTGGTCTATGGTCTAGAATTCCCATTCTTCTTCATGCTATCCATAACTTGTTACGATCCACACAGTTGAATGTCTTTGCATATTCAGTAAAACACAGGTAAACATCTTTCTGGTATTTGATTTCAGCCAAGATCCATCTGACATCAGTAATGATATCCCTCATTCCACATCCTCTTCTGAATCAAGCTTGAATTTCTGGCAATTCCCTGTTGATGTACTGTTGCAATCATTTTTTAATTATTTTCTGCAAAATTTTACTTGCATGTGATATCAATGATATTGTTCAGTAATTTCTGCATTCTGTTGGATCACCTTTCTTTGGAATGGGCACAAATATGGATCTTTTCAGTCAGGTGGACAGGTTGATGTCCTCCAGATTTCTTAGCAGAGACGAGTGAATGCTCCCAACATTGAATCTGTTGAAATATCTCAATTGATCTTCCATCAAATCCTGCAGACTTGTTTTTCACCAATCCCTTCAATGCAGTTTGGACTCCTTCCATCCATACCATTGACTCTTGATCATATGCTACCTCCTTATATGGTTGAACTACTGACCAATTCTTTTCGGTACAGTGACTCTATGTATTCCTTCCATCTTCTTTTGATGCTTCCTGCACCATTCAATATTTTGCCCATAGAATCCTTCAATATTGCAACTCAAGGCTTGAATTTTTTCATTAGTTCTTTCAGCTTGAGAAATGCTGAGCGTACTCTTCACTTTGGGTTTTCTACTTCCAGGTCTTCACACATTTCATTAATATAGTGGTGAGCATCCCTACCTGTCATGCGGTGACTGGGGTTCGGCTCCCCGATGGGGACCCACTGCTACTTGTCACTTTGTCAGTACATGTAGAAACATGAATTGATGTATATTTTTGCTTTGTATAGTCTCAACAACAAATAATAAGTGATATAAAAAAGAAAACCCTATTCCCAAATAGGGTTACATCCACAAGTTTAGGGGTTAGGATTCCAACATATATATTTGGGGGGGGGGCACATAATTCATTCCATTACATAGGGTCATGGTGGGACATCACAGGGCCTTGAGGGCTCCAAGCCCCCATAGACCCCACCACCAGAGGAAGAAATGCTGCAATAGAGTAAAAGGTCTTACACACGCCTAAAGAAAAAGAACAACAAAAGCTGTCTAGATGAATATTTCTGAATTTGTATCTATTTGTCTTCATTTTAAGAAATGGTGTGGAAATTGATCCTGACCATGTTCTCTCTACAAATAATTAATTCTCATTCAAATGATCAGCCAGTTAGGAAATATCTAAACAAAAGAAAAAGTTTGCCTCAAAATTCTATATGAAATCTGACAGGTTGCAACTTGCTGTCATTGTGCAAGTCTCACTTAGGATTCCTGGAAAACCTGTGGCTGTAGAATGTTCCTCTAAGATGGTAGCTTTCCTCTTGGGGTAATTTCCCCCCCCCCCTCCCCAGGAGCATGTGATAATGCCTGCAACCAGTTTTGGTTGTCAAAAACTGGGGAGGAACGCTACAGGGAGCAAGTGGACAGAGGCCAAGGATGCTGCCTCACATTCTACCATACACAGTATAGCCCGACTACATAATTATCTGGTCCAAATGTCAACAGGGAGGCCCTGGGTGGTACAAACAGTGAAGCTCCTGCCTAGGAGCCAAAAGTTAGCAATTTGAACAGAGGTACCTCAGAAGATAGGCCTGGAAATCTGCTTCCAAAGATTACAGGCTTGAAACCCAGTGGAGCAGTCCTGATCTGCAGACAGGGGTCAACACGAGTGTTCATGCACCCAATGGCAACTAGCAACAACAAAAGCAATAGCAAACAGTGGCTGAGTGCAGACAGCCCAGATGCCAACAGGGCCAAGGCTGAGAAACCCTGCTCCGAGATACAGGAAAGCCTTGAGAAAGAGAAAATGAAATTTTGCCAGAAGCAGAAAGGCAAAGAAGCAGAAATGACTTAATGAAACAGTGTGGGCTGCGTCCTGAATTCTACTGAGATTTCCAAATACTAGGCAGTAAAAATGGATAGCCAAGGGGTAAACAAGAAAAGCGATGCTCAGTAAGTAGGAGTCGACACGGAGTGGAGAAAGTGCCGGCCAGCCTGACCCGGTGTTTGGCCTTCACATCGGATTATTCAGTGTTGACTGTGGGCTCGGCCATGCCAGCTGGCAGGGAGGACTCAGCCTCCTCAACAAACAGATGCATCAAACTGTAAAGCTTCCATCTTCAGAAACCTTTCTAAGACAATATACAAAATCCATTTTCTACTGAGTTTACTTGAAGATGAGTCACGCAAGACGCCAGCTATAGCTTGATTTCAGGCTTTTAAATAGGGAGAGCAGCTATTGAGAAAAATTACAGGGTAGGAGAGGCCGACAAAGGCACTGCAGAGACTGAATCATTCTAATTTTTACAAGGCGTGAGTGGGGGGAGGCACATCCAGCTTAACCAATTCACATCACTTTGCTTTAGAAAATAAACATATATATCATGCTGACAATTTTATGCCACATTTCATATGCTGGAATTAAAACAGTTTTAGGGAAATACTTGGAAAAATAGAAGGGGAAAGCAATAAAAGGAGATGGTCAGGAGCACTGACACATCTATTCCCATGAGTACATCTATTCCAGTTCAAGGTGAGTAACTGAATGCAGTTCTTCTCCATCCTGTAACTGATTTCCCCCACCCAGCCACACACCCGAGTCCTGTACCTATATGCATACCTGCATGTGCACAGATGTGGGAGAAGACAGAGTTACCCTTAGAGTGGAGTCCCTGAGCAGTGCCAATGGTTCATGTACTCAGCTGCCAACTGAGAGGTTGGCAGTTTGAGTCTACCCAGAGGTACCTCAGAAGAAAGGCCTGGCAATTGGCTTCTGAAACCTCAGCCACTGAAAACCCTGAGGCACCCAGTTCTGCTCTGACACACTGGGGTCACCATGAGCCAGAGCCCCCTCCATAGCAGTTGGTCTTCTCACCTCACAGCCCCACGGGTGGAGCTCAGCCAACAAGAACTGGGTGGGTGCCTGTTTCCATTGGCACAGGGGGCCTCCAGGGTTGCTCCCAGGGCATATGGGGGTTTGGGAGCATCTTTAAAGGAAATTTAAAATGTTTGATTCTGAGTGGAAATTTACAAACGGAACCCTGAACGGTGAGTTAGTGATCACTCTGAGATTTTCAGTAACATAAAAAGATGGGGGAAAAAAAAAATCATTTTTTCCTGTAGAGCCGGCATGAAATCAACAGGAGAAATAGTTCATGATGGAATTATACATAGAATTTGGGTATTATCTGTTTTGAAACCTCATTAATGAGGACTTCGGTAATTTGCAATTCATGATCATCTAAACAGTCTGAGCTGAAGTTGGACTCTGCTAAGCAAAGCCTTATAGAAAAGGAAAATGATTAAAACTATAAACTAGATCATAAAACGAAACAAGCTCCTTCATAAGGAGCCCTGCAGGTACAGGTTCAGTGCTTGGCTGCTCACTCGAAAGTCAGTGTCTTGAACCCACCAGCACCTCTGCAAGAGACAAGACCTGGTGATCTGCTGCCATAAGAATTACTGCAGAGGAAATAGAATTACAGCAGAGAAATCCTATGGGACAGTTCTACTCTGACCTGTCAGGTCGTCTGGAGTCAAAACTGACCTCCTGGCACACAGTGACAACCAGTCATATATATAAATGAAATCGTTTTTGTCCTGTTGTTAAATGTTGTTGTGTTGCTGTTGTGGACCGTCGAGTAGGACTCAACTCATAGTGGATCCTTCCTCGGGTTTCCGAGGCAGTATCACTACGGAAGTAGATTGCCCAACCTTCCTTCCGAGGAGTGGCTAGTGGGGACTATTGTAGGCACCAAAGTATCAAAAAGAAGAGGTGAGAAAGAGGAAGGGGGAGAGTGGACGGAAAGCAACAAATGTTCCCTGGCATTTGCCAGGCAGTGTCTTAAGGACCTTATAACCATTTTTTCATGTATTGTTCTCAATAAACAATAACCTATGAGGCAGAGACGATCACAGGTCTATAAACTCTTATCTGCAATCCCAAAATCCAAATGGTTCTGAGAATTGACAGGTTGCTTGTTTGTTTGGTAACTCATTTACTGACAAAACGTGGCCTGACCGGAGTTGATCTGGTGACAGACCCTGAGCAGCAGTCACACGAGGCTGTCTACGGTGTAGACTATCATGAAGACTACTGATCTCCCTCAGTGAGTTACCGGCAGGTTTGGCTGCAGAAATATCAATGTGGACTATGGAGTGCTGCCCTAGGGCCCACTGAAGGGGGCTGCGTCAGATAGTTTTGTGGACTGAACCTTGAAAAATTCTGAACTCAGAAACACATCCAAAGTTTCAAATAAAGGCTTACGGACCCTCACAGCTAACGAGGACACACAGTCTCAGGAACCTGCCCAGGGTCTCGCTGCAGAAAGCAAGGAAGTAGCAGAGAGAGGATTTGGAACCCAGTGGGTCTGACTCCAGAAGGCACGCTAGTGGTTAACTCTGCTTGAGTCAGTTGTCAGTCTTCCATTTACTGCACTGTGTATCACTGAAAGTGATAAAACCGCATTTAAATCACACATTTTACAGGTTGAGATAGATCACTGATGGGTCTGCTCGAGTTAATAAGACTCTACTGTCCCTACGTTTATAACCAGCCATCACCCACTCACCTTTATCCTGCTCTCTTCCTGGCTGCCCATTTCACGTATCCTCTCCAAAATGGCGTCCTCCGTGGCCTCAGTCGTGTCCCAGCTGCCCCTGAGAAGGGCTGCGATTTTCTGACGAAACGAGGAGTACCGGCTTCGCGAGGCTGCCGCTTCATCCAGGCTGGCCTTCAAACTCGCCTCCAGCTCATGAGAGCTTTTCTTCAGCTGGCTTAGCTCCTGCTTCAAGGCATCCCAGACCCGCTGGCCAGTAAGCAGCCTGTCCTGGAAGATCTGAACCTCCTTTTCAAGAGCTGCTTTTGCCTCCACAGCCCTGAGCAAGTCCTAACACAATCACAGAAATTGAAGACAGTACCATTAGCAGACAATGGGGCACACCTGCATTTGCAATAACAATTCATTTACCTTGTTTTCTATGACTTCAACTTGAACGGTTAAATTCTTATTCCATTTTTACCTCTAAGTGTCCTGTCGTCTCTTCATAATTTTGAAGAATATAGTAAGTATGATTAGGTTAATAAAAATAATGAAAGCTCTAGGGAAAGTTACCTGTGTACCTATTTCTACTTACCATAGCCCAGAATGGTCCAAAGAGGTACAAAAGGGACATCTATATGATCCACTAAAATAGGCAAAAACATTGGCAGACAATGTTTCTACAAGTGTATTTGTATGTTCTGTAAGGATTCCCAGGCATACAGTAGAGCTGACAAGGGACAAGGTTGTAGTCACTTCTTGGCCACAGCCAGCTACCTGGAAGGAGTGAGTAGTTGGACCTGTGGGCTCGGGACCACGGTCACAGAGGACATTGAGCTCACTTAGCATAACATACTGCACAAAACATTGTTCCACATCCTACTTTGGTGAGTAGTGACTGGGATCTTAAAAGCTTGCAAGTGGCCATCTAGATGCAACGATGGGTCTCTCCTCATCCAGAGCAAAGAAGAATTTAAAAAAACACAGACATATGGAAACAATTAGTCCAAGTGACTGGTACACCATGCGATCCTCAGCCTATACGACTATGAGACCAAAAGAACTAGATGGTGCCTAGCACTGCCAACCACTGGGAGGAGGGATCTATGTAGGATATCCCGGATAGAGTGGGAGAAAAATGTGGAACAAAACTCAAAATTATTACCAAAAAAAAGGGGGGGAGGGGACCAGTTTTGCTGGTCTGATAGAGCCTTGTGAAACCCCTCAGACTATGGCCCCTACCTGCCCTTCAGGTCTGGAATTGAACCCACTCCTGTGGCTTCCAGCCAAACAAAAGACAGGCATATGAGCTGAACATTTACCTGAGGTAAACACACTCCTTGGAGAGATCAATCGTGGGAGAACAGAAGGGCTGTGTATGCACAGGGAGACAGCTTAGGGGGCAGAAGTGCGTGGGAGGGAAGGACACTGGGAAGAGGTAACTATGGGGAGGAACTGGGAAGAGAGCTATTGCATTGTGGGAAATTGCAGTCAATGCCATATGACAAAGGGTATGTGAGCTGCTGTATGGAAAGTGAAATGGCTTGTAAACTTTCACCCAAATCACAATAAAACTTTAAAAAAAAAAAAGATTCACCATCTCGGCAACTCGAAGGGGGTTGCTGTGAAGTTGGAATCAATTCAGTGGCGGTGGGTTTGGTTTGGTTTTTTTTTTTTTTTTTTTGAGTAAAAAATAATGCTTTGAGCATTCTGCTCTTTTCAGAACGGCACATATGAGATCAAATTGACAACAGCAACTTGAATGATTAGATAGGAACCTCAGGAGACAGTGAGTCTACATTAATGGGGGAGGAATGATCAGAGGAGGAGGTAAGAACGGTGTCACCACCTGAAACCTGTCACGAGCGTCACTGAATGGTCCACGTGGAAACTGCTGAACTGGTACGTGTTCTGCTGTGTACAGCCTCAATAACAACAACAAAATTAATAAACTTTGTAAAACTCCATGAAAACAATTGCTGACCACAAGTTCTAAAATACATGGCTTTACATCAAGTAAGGGTCAGCCCTGGTTAATCAGTACTACTATAGTACTGCTGGCAAAATATTTTGTTTTTTATTTTTGAAAAATAGTATGCAGTGGATCAAAAGCATTAAAAGCAAACACAGTATCTTTGAATAACAGACTCTATTCTGAACTAAGGAGCTCTGGTAGCGTAGTTCCTAAGGCACTTGACTGCTAACCAGAAGGCTGGCGGTTCAAACCCACCAGCCACTCCTGGGAGGGAAGATGGGGCAATCTACTTCCGTAGTGATACTGCCTCGGAAGGGAGGAGTCACTATGAGTCGGGCCAGACTTGATGGCACATGACAACAACACACTGAACTGGCCAGTAATGTTGCAGGCAGCTGGTGGGACTTGACTTGAGGGCAACTAACAGCAACAAAAACAGTTGAAATGCAATCATCTTTGCATTAGACCTAAAGGCAGGAAAATGGTAGCTGAATTCTAGTTTCTACTTTTTAATGGAAAAGAGAATGTCTTTATTTTTTCTTTATGGTCTTTTTTTTTTTTTTTTCTTTTTTTTTTTTTTTTTTTTTTTTTTTTTTTTTTTTTTTTTAATCAAGGAAGTCTCCATTTGAAAAAAAAGTCAGAGAGTGGATGGGCTACTGGAGAAGGCTGCCCTTTTCAGGGGATGAAATAACCAAACTAATTACTGACCCTGTTCTGTAAAATATCTTGCTTTTCAAGGTTCTGGAAACAGCTTACTTTCCCCTTTCCCTTTCTAACCTTCTGAGGAGAAACCACTGCTGCTAATTAAATGGCAGCTCCTAAGTACAGAGTCAAGGGCACGGTATCACAAATGTAATTCCCAAATGCAATATTCTAACAGTTTCCCAATTTCATTTCAGTCAGGAATACAACGGCTGCTCAATTACAGAACTATATGTGCACCGGTGATAATAAAATGGGCCCAGATTTTACTCAGAAATTATAATCTAATGTATGGTTAGAAAAATGAGGTCATAAATGAGATGTTACAGAGATAAAAATTAATCTTAATCCCTACAGAGTTCTAAAACGATATCCAAAACCCACTGCTATCGAGTTTATTCCAACTCACAGTGACCCCCATAGAGTTTCCAAAGCTGTCAGTCTTCATGGAAGCAGACTGCCTCAACCTTCTCTCACAGAGAGGCCGGTGGGATCAAATCATGGATCTTTCGCTTAGCAGCCCAATGCCTTAACCACTGTACCACCAGAGCTCCTTCTAAAACCACAGGGGATATTATATGTTAAATTTTAGATTGAAAGAAAAATCTTAATGCAAAAGAAGGACACCTCATGGTAAAGAGAATGATTTCTTAAACCAAGTATTTACAAAAGGCCCTCAGATTCCCAGAAATATATCCCATGCTTGACTGTTACAGGCTCACTATCCATTTGAAGTAGACTAAGCTACTGCAGCTTAGACCAAGAGACCAATAAACACAATTTAAGTATTCCAGCTATGAGGGATTTTTCCAATCTAATATCATCAACTCAATAGCAGTGGATTTGGGTTTTTTTGGTTAATATACTACTGTGGTTTGTCTTAGATCCAAGGGCCAAAATCATCCTCTCTAACAAATTCAAAGCACTTTGAAAAAAAGAAATAAAAAAAAAACCTAAGCACAAACACTTGTGTCTAGTGACAATTTGAAAATTAGTTGTTCATCATAGGATCATGTTATTGAATCTTTCGGTTTTCCTCAACCCTTCCCAGGACTGGGACCAGTGACAAGCCTTGAGGACTGCCGCCCCCCAGTGCTCTGGGTAAGGCCTTCAGCGTCAGGGCCAGTGGCCTGATGTGCTGGAAACAGATGGCATTAGTCTGCAAACGCAATTACCTGCACAGCCATCAGGGCAAAGGCTCTGGAGTGGAGTCTGGTCGCATAGCTACCTCAAGGCTACCCTGAAGCACACGGCATAAAGCAATGTGACATTAGTATCAATGGCCAGGACCCGGGGACTGCTGTCAGACCACACTGACACACAGAACAAGCAGCTCACTCTGAGCAAAACCTGTGGCTGACCTCCACAGAGGAAATCACATTTGCCATGAGGACAGACCTTCTCAACAGTGACAGGGATCACTTTTTTTTAAAAAAAAAAAAAAAAGCTTTAATGAAAATCTTTGTATTCAATTCTACCAATGCAACAAATTAATACTGACCCCTTTGCAATTACTTTTAACAAAAATTTATTTATGAATATTATGGTGAAGGCATTCCATGTAGCTTCACAATTAAATGTGGCATTAAGTAATCAAATCTTTTAAGAGTTTGTGTATCTAAAGCACAATAGATTTCTATTACTAGGTGGCTAATAACAACAAACAACGATTATATAGAATTGGGTATGTGTGAGCTCAAACTGTCTCTCAAAATGAAATGACTGATTACAGTCAAGATTGATAACCTCTCACTTAAACTTAATTTGTCTGACCCTAGACGAATTTTATCAAATTAAAAGTTGCTGGTTCCCTCTACCTGCTGCAACTGAGATGGATAAATAAGCCCCAAGTGTGAATAGGTTAAATTTTGGTATAAGTGCCCATCCTCTGGCCCTGAAACTCCACTCCTAAGAATTTATCTTAGGAAAGATTATTAAATATGAGAAATGTGTTATGTGCAAAGTCACTCAATTTTAATAAAATAGCAAAAAATAGATATTGCATGCATATTCATTAATAGGTGATAGATTGAAAAATGTGAGACATTCATACTGTAGAATAATATACAGTCTTACAAAGAAATGAGGAAGCTTTTTTTTTTTCTCTTTTTTTTTTTTTTTTTTTAGGATTTGGGTGAAGATTTACAGAGTAAATTCACTTTTCATACAGCAGTTCACATATACTT